CTTATTTTTTTATGTTCCTCATAAGAAGTTTGGAATAAGGTGAGAGTGAGTAAATCATGACTTTTTTATTTTAGTGATCTGCTATATCTGTCAGCCTCTAGAAGTGTAGTTTTGTCAGTGTCTCCAGCGGATCTCTCTGGGCCAGCTTTTCTTGGCGGTGGTGGCAGATCTCGGCTCAATTTTTCTGTCTAGCGCTCTGTTTTTGACCTCTCTTCTTTTGATAAGCTATTGCTCGGCAGCACTGCTGTCAAGTGCAACTTTTGTCAAGTTAACTTTTTTTACCAGCTCATTTATATTTATCTCAGATTTGTGCCACATACTGCATTGATTCAATAATACCCCATTAATAAAACCTAGAATCAGAAGATCCATTATTGACCATATTTGGAATGGTTGTGGGTACATTTTTAATCTGTATATCCAGCGTTTTGCATTCTAGAGCTGCTCTAATCCATAGCTGGTGATGTTGTTGCCTAATATTGCAAACATTTCAGCTGGCTTTGACTGTGCTGCGTCTCCCATTTTCATAATAAGAGCCCCACATTTAGAGTAAATTTAAGGCTGCTTGTCCACTGAAACATTATTGCATTGTTGCAAATTCACGTTTTTGCTGCACATTATAAGTTTTTACTCTGTTGCTATGATGCAATGTATTCTCACTGTAGCAAAACAAGTTAAAAGTCTTTAGCAAATTATTTGTTGACACTTAGCCTCATATGAACTTTGATCAACTTAAAAATAAGGAAGGAATATAATCATTATTATAATCTCAGAATGCAGCCTGGTTCCTGATGGTCCCCTGTTTATCTGGTCTGGATGATGTAAAATGTGACCTAAAATACATGCAAATCTTGATGGCATGCTAATAAATATCACTGTAAGCAATGCAACAATCTGTTTTACACTCACAGTATTTACATATGAAAGAGTAAGCAATGGTGTTCGAGGGTCACAGTATGGCCATTTCCATATATTGAACACTTATTATTCAACTATGTCTATGTATACTCAGATTTCCTTCATTGGACACCTCTGACACATTATCCCTCCAATTAAAACACTTTCTATGCAGCTTTTTTCTTTTTAAATGCCATTGTCTGCACATTACGTAACTCCGCCGCTGCTCTGAAGAATTACCAGCTGCTTCCACACATCAGTAGATTCATCAAAATGCTAAACACGAGGATCTTAATCTCGCTGTTTTTGAAGTTCTTCAAGATTGCATTAATGAATTCCCACACTGAAATGATGAGCCGGACTGTGCTGATGTTACGTAACCCATGTCTTTTGAGTTACTGCAGCATTCTGTCAATCAGTGGAGGACGTCGTGATCAATGAACGCTGACTCCAGTGAGATCCAAGCAAACTGCATCTCGTTAGACTTTTCCAACTTCCCCGAACGTCCAATCGCATTGATATAAGCAGATGCAAGCCATATCGTCTGCTTTTACCCTTACGCTGTCTTGTAGTCAGCAAGTCGGGCTAGTGATTGATGAGGGTGGATGCTTGAAATGACAGCCTGGACATGTTGTACTTCTGTTCTCTGCATGTTTTTTCCAGTTTCTCAGGATGTCTGGGTGGTTCTGTCTTGGGTATCTGGATGTAGAGTGTCCTCTATGGGTTATCTTTGACTATATCGGTCATTTACAAGTCAACCTAGAGAAAAACAGTTGAGTTTGAACATTTTTGAGTCCATTCAGGCCAGTTCAAGGTTTGGCAGGAGCATTGTTATCTAGCTGGGGAGTATTTTGAAGTACTGCCTAATATTAATGCGGCAGTCATGCAACAACAGCAAATTTCTTTGATATTTACGCCTGAATTAGAGTATAGTTCCAAGCCTTTTCATTTACTGCGAGTCTTAATACACAATTTAATTGCAGAAGAGCCAAGCTTTAAATAGGAAAACTATCAAATTTTTAACGTTTTGAGAGATGCTAATGGTCTAATCTGATGCAATGATTTATGCTAAGCTAAGCTAAAATGATTCCTGATTGGCTAAATGAATTAAAAATGGTAAAACTCAACTGTTTGCCTCTAAGAGAGTTGCAAGAAGAGCTTATTTCTGAAAGTGGAGTGTTCCTTTAAGTGCATGATCCTCATAACCTTGGGATGATAGATGGTGTTTTCTCAGCCGGAATTGCCTGTGCATTAATTCTTCGTCTGCTCTGCTGGGAAATCATGAATATAAAGTGTTAACATAAATAACATGTCTTTTTCCCCCAACATTGCACCGTGGGTTGTGTCTTCATGGGGTTGTTTCATTATGTTTATTTGTCTCTTACAGATTGAGAAGATCATGACTCTGATTGGTGCTGGCATTGACTTCTCCAAAGAGCAGGACTGCACAGGTATGTGATCGCTTTCATTTTCATTTATACTAATTTAGGCAAAGGGCACAGCGAAAGTTTAAATCCTAATACAGTGTTTTGGTAAAAGTAAATAAATAAAATCAGTAATGATCTTAAACAACCTAAAACTGAAATTATTAGTCAACAGTGTAATATTTTAATCTCATATGAGCTAATGTAAGGGCCTGCTGTAAAGCAGATTGACCAGTCGGGTGCTGTACAATTGCAATTCTTCACAGGCAGTGTTGCCAAGTCTGCACTTTTCCCACACAAATGTAATAAGACTCTCTGAATAAGTGGATTTTCCTTTGGACCCAACATTAATGCAGGGGGACCACTCTGGAATGTGACTGAGATGCATATGGGTTAGTTTTATGAAGACCTGGCAACCCTGCTCATGGGCAAAGACTTACCAGAACAATGTACATTATATTAGTGACTTGTTATTGTAATTATTAGATGTCATTTAGACACAGTGATTCCCTAGGGTTTATTAGGAGACTTGGACAAAGATTCAACATCAACATAACAAAGCAGACTGTCTGTAATTGAGAGGGGGGGGGGCGTTTGTTATAAGAGCTGCTCATTGTTGTCAAAGATCATGTGTCTTTGCTTTTGCATCGGCTCCCCTATGAAATAAGACCTGACCGAACACTTGATGATGGCCAAGGCCAGGTCCAGAAGAGTTATATTAGCCAACAGAGGATTTGGTGTTGCTGGCCCTTTAAAAGGAGAATGAGAAATCCCAGGATGCCCCTGAAGGACGAGAGGACACTTGAGAGTTAAATCAATGTATGCGGAGGCGCCTGGTGATCCCGCATTGGTGATGCGTGACCTTGTTCTGTATGGAGGCAGCTTATTGACCCCTTCTCTGGAATTAACCAAACTACAGCAATCCAGACCGTCACGCTTGCTGTAACCTAGATAGTGCACAAACGAATAGGGGGAAACTGCTGCTCTTAAGTTGAACTCTTGAATAGAGCACTGTTCTCATGTCACTGTCATCTTAAATTCTGCTAACACTGTTCGTTTCTGCAAGGAGTCTTTGTGTTCCAACTGGGTTCACTGGCCCGTATAGATAGAGGACCAGTCCTTCCTCTGTCCTTTAGTCACATGGCACTGCTTCTGACCTCATTTCCTGTTTCCTGCGGGCATCCTACTTGGACTTGACTCATGCTCCTGCTTTTTAGCTTTATAAGTGGTGCTCTCTAAAGCCAGCGATTATTACTTGTGTTCATACTTGATATTAAGGTCTTTTAGCCCAAGCATTGGACATCGAAGTGCAGTTCATGCTAAGGATACAACAAACTGTGTGGGTTGTTGAGCAATAGATCGATTGTCATTCCAAGATTTTTGGTCAATAAATAAAAGAAATCTAGCAACCAGCATTGATCAGTGATGACTACTCCAAGTCTACTGCAAGGATGTTCAATTCAGCTCATTTAGAGGCTGCAGTCCTGCAGAGTTTAGTTCCAGTCCTGCTCCAACAAGCCTGAAAGACTTAATTAGTGATATTTAGTGTGTTTAATTAAGTCTAAAGCTGAATTGTGCAGAGATGTTGCTCTCCAAGACTAAAGTTGAACTCATATGATCTAGTGTAGGGGTGCCCAGTCCTGTTCCTAGAGATCTACCTTCCTGCAGAGTTCACCTGCAAACTTGATCAGACACACCTGTGTTTGATTACCAAGTGCTCTCTCAGATCCTCCTTAGTTGGTTTGTGTTTGATCAGGGTTGGAGCTGAACTCTGCAGAAAGGTAGATCTCCAGGAACCGTATTGGGCACCCCTGATCTATTGGGTTAAAATTAGGCCCAACCCAATTTTGTCAACATTTACCCCTTTTACCTCAGCTATTGAAACAGAGTGAGTCCCCCTCCAACCAAAAGAGAATCAAGACACCTCTACCTTTTCACTTGACCTCACCTGCCCCATTTAGATTGGCTGAATTACACTCGAGTGTGCTTTTCTGTTTGGTGCGGTTCGTTTGGGCTGGTGTGAATGCAGTAATTGCATGCATTTGATTACAGTGCTTTAGACAACTTCTGAAGTGACATGGAATAGGCCTTCACCATTACAAACACTGTTTTCCAGCTGTGTTTGTACTTCATTCACAACATGTATGATTTGTCTGAAGTGATGCATACAATCTATTTAATATACAGTGATAGCGATCCAGTCACTCAGCACACTAGTCTCTTCATACTAAACAGACCTTGCTGAGCCAGATCTTCAGCCTCTCTTTGTTTACCCAAGGGAGATTTATGGAAATATTCATGCACATTAGTTCTGATCAGAAAATATGAAAATTAAGAAAATATGCTCAATGACATGATGTGGATGTTGTTGATTTCCTTAAAGCAGACACCAGAGGCCCACTGCATGCACAGTCTGGATCCAACCCTAATCAAAACACCTGAAAAAGATCATCGACATCTTTAATATTGCTTTAAACTGAAGTTAAGCTCTGCAAACTATCCTCCCTCCACTATTGAATTGGAAGAACTTGGTTTAGATGGCTCTGCACACGTCTTCATTTAAAGGCATTTGTATCATCAACCTCATAGTGTTTCATTTACAAGCTTCTTGCAGCAGGACTTGGCAGATTGTCCGTTTTGTTTGTGTCTAAGTGCGAATAGGTGCTAAAATATTAACGTGCATGAGTGTCAGGGGAATTAGAAGAAGGAACTGCCCTGCAGCTTGGCAATAAACCCAGATAGACACCCTCCAGCCCAGCAGCTCCGCATATGCCTCTGTGTTTGTGCTTTGCTTTCGGAGTAGACCTGGTTTAGCTTTGCGTATCGTTTCCTTTTGAATCGATTCCTCTAGAGATATGGTCCTGATTGGGTAAGTGAATGGGACAATGGTTTGATTAGACAATGCACAGCAGGCCAGCAATTTCTTTAAGGGGAAAAGAGAGAAAGGCAGGGAGGGGAGGATCCGGAGAGAGGGAGGGGAGCTGGAGAGAAAGGAGGAGACGGAGCATTAGCGCTGCAGAGCAGACTTGACAGCGTCCGGTTGAACAAGGAGACCGCACCTTCCATACTGAAGGGATTACTGCTGCGTTTCTGACAACATCCATACTCGCACAGCAAGTTTTACATTCTGTGGAGCACGAGTCTGCAAACATCCCACTGACCTTGCATTACTAATTCAGCATCGCCTGCCATGCCTTTTGGAGATAGAGGGATATCAATATACTTGAACGCTACTCTTAGGATTAACTGCGTTGGAAGTGCAGCCGGACATTTACACGACTCTGGGATACTTTGAAAAGCAAGTGCTTTCGCTGTTGGGAGTCTCTGATTAAGTTCAATGACTCAGGCAGATGCGAGATCTCTTGACATCATTGGTTTTCTGTTCACTTTTAATTCTGTTTGGATTAAATCAATTGCAAGTGCAGGCTTATTGGTGAGACATATGATCGCTGCTTTTAAATTTAAAGCTTCTGCATCTAAATTTAGTCAAACAGGATTATTTGTTGAGGAATAAAGTTGTCTTCAAGAATTAGTTTTCTTTCTAATTTTCAGTCGTGAGAGATCCTTGTTATTCTTCTCCTACCGAACACTGTTGCTTGAATTCATGTACCTTTAGACCCTGAAAGCACAGAGTGACTTTGTACAATGCAGTCACGCAATCCTGCCTGGCTTTTAAGCAGTGCTATCATGGAGATTGGATTAGAGGTTAATTTGCATGAGGATGAGGAGTGAAGAGTTTCCAGGCTCCGCTAGAAGACTCCCATAGCAGTGTTCAGTCACTCTTAGCAAATCAGGGGAATGTTTAATAAGTAATAAGTGAGAGTCCCTCAGCATCAGATTATGCCATCGGTTGAAATTGCTTGAGCGATGAAGACACAACCTGCTTGTCATTATTAGTGATAGTAGAAGATATTTGCACCTACCTCCACATGGACACCGAGGGAAGGAATTACAAGCTTTCCTTCATTGAGTTTTATTAGTTTCCCCAATCTCCTCTTTCCAGCTGAACAGCCCAATCAATCAAAGCCCTCGAGGATGGATGTGCAAGCTCACCTCTTCAGGAGCTGCCTTGTCTAGGATTATAATAATACAGGCTTCATTACAATGGGGATTGAACGCTTCATCATTTGTCACTTTCTATATGGCATAACCAAACCTTCAGTTCTGAGGGGGATATCCAGACTCAACCTTTGATAATTGCTGGTCTCGGGACACATGTTTGTTCATAGTAACTATACTAAGACCTCTGAAGTACAATTTGGGACACAATGTGGAGTCTAAATCTGTGATCAATCTCTTTCTTTGTTTAAAATTTGGCAATATCGACCTTCATTGTTATCAAGTGTGGTTTGCCCCTACTTTGGGAGCGACCACAACTCTGGACCGGGATCCTGTCGCCTTTGCCGTCCTGGTGTTTCTGCTCTCGGCACTGCTGGCCGAGGATGATGTGGCAGTGCCATGTCTCCTCCTCAGAGTGCCGATGCTACCGTCTCAAGGGGTTCTCCCTCCTCAAACGCCTCCCTCTGTCCGCAGGTGGGTCCGGGAGGCTTCTGGAGCAGCCGGTCGGGGATTGGCTGGAGCATATAGGCCTTCCACAGTACGAGAGCAAACTACTGCTCAACGGATTCGATGACCTGCGCTACATGGTGAGTAACCTGTATGTTTATCTTAGTTATGTTATGGGGCAGTTGTGGCCTATTTATTGGAAGTAGATTGGAACATTTTAAAATTAAAATGCTCAGAATAAAGCTCTCTCTTACTTAAATGCACTTTCATCAAGGGCAAACGAGCAACATTGTTATAAAACTAGGCGACTGTCACTTTAAAACTGCTTCAAGTCATCAGTCTTTTACATATTCTGGGGCATTGCTGTGGAAAGTGTGTATGGAATATGCATGTGTGTATTATGGGACAGTTGTGACCTAATGGGTAGGGTAATCAATAATGGGTAGGGAGTTGGACTTGTAATCAAATGGTTGCAGGTTCAATTCCTGTCTGGGCCAGGATCGTCATCCTGTTTGTGCATGCAAAATGTGAGTGTAATATGGGGCAGTTGTGACCTGAGGTACGAGTCAAACCTGGGGATCAGGTTAACAGGTACAGGTTGTAGTTATACATGTGGTTCAATTCCAGCTCTCTAATGGGTAGGGTATTGGACTTGTAATCAATAATGGGTACTTTTAATCGAATGGGTAGGGAGTTGAACTTATACCCTAAAGGTTGAAGGCCTGCTGGGACCAGGAATTGAACCTGTAACCTTTGACTATCGGGACCAGGAATTGAACCTTCAACCTTTTGATTATAAGATATGGGTAGTGAAGTAACCACTCTCTCTCCACCTTTGATTCCCAGCTCATGTACCCTGTGTTGTAGGCACAGAACCCTTAATTTCTCCCCTAATTGCGCTGGAGGCTAGCTGCCCACTGCTCCAGGTGCATGTTGAATGTGTGTGTTTGCGTGCGCTGTCACTCTGCACTCAAAATGTGTGTGTGTGTACTTCCATGGGTTTAAAGTAGAGGAAAAAAAAATACAACAAAATTAAAAGCTTCTGATGAGAATGCTCGGACTTTCTTAACTCTCATCCTGTGTTGACCTGCATCTCAGTGGACCGCCGTCTTTCTCTTAATTTCTCTAAACGCCTTTGCTTTTGTATGTTTTGCATGTAAGTTTATGATAATCTGCTTGTCGTGGATCAAGGCTAGTTTTTGTGATGCTGCAGAGTAATTCAGGATAGGAAGCACTCAGGGAAAGAGAAAGTTAGCTTGTTGACTGAATAAATAAGCATTAAGTGTTTACAGGTTTGCTGCTGTAGCAGAGTGGATCTGCAGCCAAGTGAACTCCTGTAACAGCAGCAGGACAGTCAGCAGGATTTTTAAGCTGCGAGGTCAAATGTACTGTGAAAGTTCTTTGGTCTTAACATGATTTGCTATCTCAAATATAGGCACTTATTCCAGGCAGATGATGCGGTCTTTATCCAAGGCCTAATCAATCAGTAACAACCCAATTAGGAAGTTGTTAGAAGATTGGATTCTAAGTGGATCTTAGATTCGAGCAGAGCTCAATCACTACCCTTAAACACAGACTGTAGACGGCAGAAGCTTATAAAAACACCAGCCTCTGGGAAAAAGGTGTAGCTAAAGCTCATAATACATTTACATGCAGTTTAAAATAATAGGTGTGCATACCATTTTACCTGAAAAAAAGTCATGCTTTGGCACATGCTGGCCTGCACTAGGGTAATTAATGCATAATATATTATAATGATCAAATTATTGCACATTTGCATATGATAATATACATATTTCAATGGTTTGCAATGACTTAGTCATTTTAAGATAACAGATGATTGTTTGCCTGGCAGTAGCACACCTGAAAGACTGTTCAGCACATCAGGCAAAGTAGATTCATCTCTGAAAACAGCAGATGAGACACGCAGGCTATCCAAAAATCAAAACCAAAACTGTTCTAGCGTGGATTCTGATAATCAAAATCCACATTAGGAAAGCAATAAGACAGCATAGAAGTTACTTGACTCGGTTTCAATCTTCCCCCTGATCCCTCTTAATGTTTACAGGTGGATGTGTTTATACCAGTTACTTTTATATGTTAACATTAACATGTCTGATTTGACCTGATATCCTGTAGGAACTCATTGCTGTAAACAAACTCTTCATGATTTTAACTAGTGCTCAGCCATGTGCAGGAAGACAGATCGAGGAGCCTGTGAGTCTCTATGAAGGAACCCTGATGCCATTTAAAGGCTTGTGTTGTTTTTACCATGTGAGGTAATGAGAATTGATGGTGATGCGGTTGAAAGCCTCAGCTGGCCGAGGAGGGTGTGTGTGTGCGTGTGTGTGTGTGTGTGTGTGTGTGTGTGTGTGTTTGCACAAACCCCCTCTTGATGCATCTGCAATCTCTGCAGCTCCTTCACAACACTGCTCTAAATGTTCTCACGCAGATGGACAAATGCAGTATGAGGTTGCAGTGCAGTTAGCCATTAGCAGTGACCACGCGGAGTATACACATGCTGATTTCAGAGCTCATCATT